ATATAACACATTATTTCCTTCCTCTTACTCAGGGTGGCCCAATTAAAGTATCTCATCATGTTTCCATTTATAATGTCCACTTTAAGCGAGCCAATGTCTGTTTTGAACTAAATTTATGGCAAACACATACACTCGTGAAAATTTAGAAAATGTTAGAGAATGGACTTTCTTTTCACATTGAAAATAGAGCAAAAACTCAGAAATCATTCACATAAGGAGAAATGTTGCTTTCTATTCTTGGTGAAGCACAGAACACACTTCCCATAATGAAGATAAAGAAGATAAGTGTGTTACTCAACTATGAAACACAAGGGTTTTTAAATATTTATTTGTTTATTTGAGAGGTGGACACACACACACACACACACAGAGAGAGAGAGAGAAAGAGCGAGAGTGTGTGTTCCCCTCCACTGGTTTACTCTCAGATGCCTACAATGGCCCCTGCCTGGGATAGGAGCTAGAGCCAGGAACTCAACCCAAGTTTCCCACACATGTGGCAGAGCCCATACTTGTGCCATCACTTCTACCTCCCACATTGGCAGGAAGCTGACGTCAGGAGCAGAGTCTGGAATCAACACAGAGACCCTGATATGAAATGCAGGCCTCTTAACTCCTATGCCTGATGCCTGCCCCTAATAAATCGTTTTGGCTGGCAGTTGCTATTCTGGAGCTTAAGCTGCAGTGATAAATCATTCATAACCTTTGGTCTTGGGGACATAGCAGTCATTTGGTAAAGATATTAATATAAAAGTAATTAAACTGTACAGGCTAAAATAGAATCATAGGCACAGGGTACAACACATCCCAGGGGCACAGAGGTATGCTGTCTAGCATTACACGGGGGAGGGGGGGTGGAGGAAGGTTCCAGAGAAAGGGGGTAATTGAGCTGATCAGATAGCTGTAGTTCTCCCAGAAGGAAAAAAAGGAAGGGTCTTTAACGGGAAAGGATTAGCACAAAGCCCAGAGAACGGAGAGGGCAGTGAGCATTCGGGAAAACATTCACCCATGGATGGGGACAGACCCACAGTGGGAGTGAGGACAAGAAGGAGGACACTAGGCGTGTGGACGTGGCACAGTCTTCCTGGAGCTCGGAGAGGCCATGGGACACTGAGCAGTAGGAATCTTCTGCAAAGCAGCAGGCGCTACCAAGTCGCTGGAGGTGTTGAAACAGGAACTGGTGTGAACTGATTTCATTTTTAATTTATCATTCTGACAACCACAATGAGATACCATTAAACACCCACTAGATGTCAAAAACAGAAAGGGCTAATGACGAGAAAAGGTGGCAAGGATAGGAGAGCAACCGGTACAGACGCAGCTTGTGGGAGCCTGAAATGTTCAATTGCTTTAGAAGAGTGCTCAGCAGCTCCTTAAAATGTTAAATAAATAAACCTACCTATGACCCATTAATTATATTCCTAGATATTTACTCAAGAGAGGTGTAAATACATATTTTTTAAAAAAGAATTACACGGTGTTCACAGCAACATAACTCATAATAAGAGAAACTAGATATAATTGGAATGTTCACGAATGGCAGAGTGGACACATAAATTGAGATATTTGCACACAGTGGAATATTATTTGGTAATAAAATTAGTAGCCTATTATTAAATATAACAACATGCATGAATCTGAAAAACATTGTGCTGACCCAATAAAGGCAGGTAGGGAAGAGTAGCCACTGTACAAATTCATCCAGGTGAAGGTCAAGAAAAGAAAGCTAACCTATAATTATGTAAACCATAGAAATGGATCGGCATGAGGAATGAGGATGGACTGGAAATGAGGTTCGGAGAATTTTTTGAAAAGTTAGAAACTCTCATTCTTAGTCGTGCCTACATGGAGTATGTATTTATCATAAAATTCATTGGTATTTAATGATTCTGTGAATTTCATTAAATGCTGTTACTTGAAGTAAATATTACTTCGTATTTTCAAAAATTACAACTTAAATCTGGAGGTGAACTAAGAAAAGAAGAAACTGTCAGTAATAATCCTACTAAAGAGAAGGAGGCTTTATTACAGGCAAATGTAAGAGTTTAAATGAAGATGGCGGCAGTGATAATGTGTAGAGAGTGAATGTCATTAAAATTTCAGAAGAGATGATGGTGTTCATAATAAGGTGATGACAAAGATGGAGGTAAAAGAAGAAAGGGAATGATGGCAGTATTTTGATGTCATTGAAAAAATCACATTGAAAGAGAGAAGTCCAAAAACAGCCAATGATATTGAAGGAGAAGAACAAAGTCAGAGGACTGACTTTAAGGTTTACTGTAAGGATACAATTGTAATTATAGCATGGTGTGAATGAACAAATAAGAAATAAACGAGTGGAAAGAATGGACAACTCAGAAATACACACATGAAATCAGTCAACTCATTTTCGGCCAAAGAACAAAGGAATAGAGTGCAGGAAGCATAATATTTTGATAAATTTGCTGCAACAACTGGAAATCTACATGTGAAAAAGTGAGTCTAGGTACAGACCTTATAGCTTCCACAAAAATGGATCATAGATTAAAACATGAAATGCAAAACCCATTAATTTCTTCAGGATAATATGGGAAAAATTTATGCAATCTTGGGTTTGGCAATGACTATGTAGATACAATACCGCAAGCATGACCCATGAGAAAAGAATCCATAAGTTGAAATTCATTAGTTTTGCTCTGCATAAAGACACAATTGAGAGAAAGAAAAGACAAACTAGCTACTGGAAGAAAATAATTGCAAAATATATATCTGATTAAAAAAAACTACTGTACAAAATACACAGAGTTCTTAACACCTAATAATAAAAAAGCAAAAAATGCAATTTTAAAAATATAAAGATATGAACAGACAACTCCCAAGATATATATATATATATATATATATATATTGCACATAAGCATGTGAAAAGATGTTTAATGTGCTATTTCATTAGGGAATTACAAATTAAAAAACAAAATACCATCACACACCTGTTAGAATTACAAAACTAGAAAACAAAGACATCACCCAGTGCTATTAAGGATGTGGAGCAATAGTGACTCTCATTCATTGTTGGTGGGAATGTCAAATGGTTACAGTATGATGATTTCTTACAAAATAAATATAGTATACTATCCAGCAATCACTGCCATGGTATTACCAAAGTGGGCACCCAAAAACCTGCACACACATGTTTGTAGACGTGTTATACATAATTACAAAAACCTAAAACCAGCCAAAAAAGGCATTGAATAGGTGAATGGAAAAACAAACTATGGAACATGCAAATGACAGAGTCTTACTGTGCAGTAAAGAGAAATGAACCATCTACAAAAAAGACATGGATGAGATATTTATATACGTGTGTGTGTGTGTGTGTGTGTGTGTATATATATAGTAAGATTCTCTCTCCCTCCAAATGAAAGAAAAGACGTAAAAAGTCTACAGACTGTATGATTCCAACTATATGACATTCTGAAAAGGCAAAACTATGAAGACGGCAAAAAGATCAGTGATTGCTAGGGATTAATAGGAAGAGCACAGAACATTTTGGGGGTGTGAAATTCTTTCATAATTCTGTAATGGTGTATGTGCGCTGCTGTATACTTGTCCAGTCCATAAAAGGTACAACATAAAGAATTCTAATGTAAACCACAGACCCCAGTCAGTAGTATATCAATATTGTCTCATCAATTTTAACAAATGTAGTACATGAAGGCAAGATGTTAGTTGGAGGGGGAATCAGGGAGAGTTGAGAGGGAATATATAACTTTCTGCTCAACTTTTCTGTAAATGTAAAACTTCTAAAAAATAAGTCATTAATTTCAGAGAAAAAGTTTCAAGTATAACATAATGATCTTAGTGTGACATAAGTTGTGTAGGTACATGTGTTTTGCTTGGAGGAAATATAGGATTGGTAGATATGTCTAAGAAACACAAGAAATGGATGTACCTGTAGAAGAAGAAAAATAGCAGTCTTTGTCAGGAGTCTAAGAAGCATCCTCAGTTAGGAACAGGTGGAGGAGCCAGCAAAGAAGCAAGGGGTGGGGATGAAGTTTAGTGGAAGTCAAGAAGAAACAGAACAGGTTGCTTTATAAAGCAACTTTCAATTCTGTTCTATTCAAATGCTGCATAAATATAAATTAGTTTGTGACTATTGGGAAACAATGTGAAACACAGGCTATTTTTAGGAAAGCAGAAAGGATGTAAGCCAATTTTTAATTAGTTGAATAAAGCAAAGTGGTTTGAGAAATAAAATTGCAAGTGCGGGATCATAATTGGAAATTATGATTAAGAGGCAGAGGAAGGCCAATCACTGTTCTGTTGACTCATTCTGAAAATTGCAAGGCAACTTTTGCTTTGCAGGATCTAAAAGAGGGGATTCAGATTTTGAGATGAGCTTTGCTGTTTTTGTTGCTTTTGTTGACATACCATATATCTAGCTGATGGTATTCTGGGGAATGTTGAGATGGCCAATATAATACTCCCCTTGCAGTGGGGATTTATCAGAAAGCAAACAGCGACAAAGGATATGCCCTTTAAGAGGTAAGTAAGATGACCTGCTTACAATGTTAAAGCAGAATGCTCTAGGAAGCTAATCATATTCTCACAGAATTCCTGTTGACTGCTTTTTTTTCTTAAAGATTTTATTTATGTATTTTACAGGGTAGAATTACAGACCATGAGAGAGAGAGAGAGAAAGGTCTTCCTTTCTTTGGTTCACTCCCCAAATGGCCACAATGGCCAGAGCTGCGCCCATCCGAAGCCAGAGCCAGGTGCTTCTTCCTGGTATCCCATGCAGGTGCAGGGGCCCTAGGACTTGGGCAGTCTTTTACTGCTTTCCCAGGACACAGCAGAGAGCTGGACTGGAAGAGGAGCGGCCGGGACTCGAACCGGAGTCCATTTGGGATGCCGGCGCTGCAGGCGGAGGATTAACCTACTGTGCCATGGCGCCGGCCCCCCTGTTGACTTCTAATCTATGCTTTGTTATTATTACATCATAAATTGAATTCTGAAGACTACAGATTTTGGATTGAGATGATGGATTGGTTACCACAAAGGTATGTCTCTTCTTAAGAGTTGATTTCCTAAGATATTGAGCTTGAGAATAATTCCTATCAACATTTAGATAATTTGAATGGTGAATCATATCGGTTTTTGACTGGTGTATTTATGTCACTCTCAATAAGCTTTATAAAAATAAGGAATAATCATATCATTACAGGGATGATTTAATGAATGAATGAGACAGAATCTCTTAGAAACATTTAGAACAAGTAGAATTTTGAAGTATTTATTTTCTGATATGATTTTGGTTATTACAAGGTAGTTTTTGGCACTGGGCTTACATTCCCAAACAATTTTTATTATTTATTTTTAAAAGTGGTAATTTATGTTCATCAAAGTGGTTATTTTATTCACTTTCTTATCTAAAAATATTTAAATGTTGAAACATATGAGGTATCATAACAAATATAAGTCCTCCAGTATTCATTCCTTTTAGTTGTGACTATAAATAGTGTACTATGTCAAAGGATTACAAGAAGTTTTTGCCCATTTGTATTAATTCTTTGTGTTTTGCAGGTATTAGTTAAAGATTAAACAAACTCCATCACATCTCTAGCAGGTAAATGTAAATTCAGGTTATGACACTGTGTGAATTTTCTACTTGAAACAATGAAAGCAGTCCCATAAGAAAACCTTGGGATTTAGCAAATATTCTCTAGCAATGAAGCATTTATCAGATTGCTGTGGTCAATGCAATTAAACAGAAGCTGTGGTTGGCATAAAAATGGATTGCGATAGGATGATTACTCGTAATGGTAGAGAATTCTGAGCTTTTTCAACTTCATCTGAGATAAACAATCATGAAAGAAATAAATGTAGTTAGGTTAATTTAAATTTATAACAATTGATACTCGGTTAAATTGACCACAGTGTAATACTGTGCAGTCATTTTAAATGACGAGTTAAAGCCTACAATGATATAAAATAGATTAATAGTAGATTGGTAGGGTGAAATACCTAGTTCCAGAGCCTTTTGGAGGAAATATTCGTCTCTATTCTAATGACATATGATGTCCCTCATGCAGTTTCCTGAGACCCTATGACAGCCTTCCAGATAGAGGCAGGCATCCTGTAGTCTCTCCTTTTATGCCTACATTTAATTTCAACTCTGATGGAGAAGAATTCTCCACCAATGGGATCTGCTTTTTGATCCTTGACTGTTTCATATCTCTCCTCAGTCTGCACAATTATACAGAAAGAAATGATTGTGAATAATTGGTCTTCAAAGGTCAAATGTGCTTTACAATAATAGTCACTGCAAATAAAAGTCACAGAATGTTGGATCTACAAGTACCCTTAGAAATGGACTAGTTTCGCCCATTAGTTTAGCAGTGAGAAACACTGAGGAACTAAACTGCTGCCTCATTTTGTATTGCACAGTTAATGACACATTTGGGGACAGAATTCAAAACATGAATAATGTGTAAAGTTGAAGTACAGCTAAAACCGAAAGAACATCAGTGAGAAATTGACAAAGTCACAGTTTCTGTTGTATGACAAATTAATAAGTTATAATTGTGTAAATTGATAGAAAAAATGGGGTTGTGATTTTTGAATACACTGTGGATTAATTAAATTGAGCTAGTTAACATACCCATCCCCTCATATACTTAGATTTTCCTGCGGTGAGAACATTTGAAATTTACTCTTGAAGCAATTTTGAATTTATAATACTGTTATTAGTTCTATTCACCACATGGTACTATAGTCTCAAAAAATCTTCCCCTTGTCTAAGCCTTGGTTTTTCAGTCACAGTTGGAGACTTTATCAATACAAGAAAGCACACAGTGTTTGGGTTAACAAATATTCAAACATGGACATATAGAATACAACTACATACATTTACATATATCTAGTAATTAATATTAAGGAAATATGTATTATATTCAAATACATATTGAACACTCACAAAATTTGATCTTATAGTAGGCCATAAAAAATCACCCCCAGTCATAATCTATGTAATATGAACCAAAGCTTTTTAAAAAGGGAAACTAAATATAAAAAATAAATTCTCCATTTGCATGTTAAAAATCAAATATTCAAATAACTCATTAAATTAATAGAGAATTAATACAGAACTTAACATGACTGAGGGACAGGTAATTGGGGCAGTGGTGAAGACGCTCTGTGGGACACCAGCATCCCGTATCTGAGGGCCTGGGTTTAAGTTCCAGCTTCACCTCCAGTTCCAGCTTCCTGAATGCACACTCAGGGAAGCAGGGGGACAGGGCTCCAGTACGTGGGTCCCTGCTACATGAGAGAGCTGTGTGAGTTCTTCGCTGGGCTTTGGCCCAGCCTAGCTTCAGCTGTTGTGGGTATCTGTGCAGTGAACCAGCATACGGGCAGTCTCTCTATGTCTCTCACTCTTCGCTCTATCTCTTTTACTTTCTCTCTCCCACTCCCTATATTTTAAATGAATAAGAATAACTAAATAAAATATGTGTATATTTATGGAGCACATTGTGATTTTTATATATGTATAAATTAAGAAAAGAGTCATTCAGACTAATTAGCATATCCATTCATTGCATTTTGTGGTGAGAAGGTTAAAAACCTATTTTAGGAATTTTGGAACCTGCATCAGGTTATTATTAGCTGTGGTCACCAGACAGTGCAATAGATCACTAAAACTTCCTCCTCTAGGCTACCCTTTGGTCAGTATCTTCCCTTTTCTCACTCCCATTCCCAGCACCAGGAAACCATCAGCCTCCTTTCTACTCTCCACTTCTAGGTATTTAGCTTTTCTAGATTCTATGTGTAAGTGAAATAATACAGTAATTTTTCAATTCAGATCATATAAATATTTTATCCTTTTTGGTCAAATATTTATTTTCATTCCCTATAGTTGAGATAAACATATTTGTATTATTAACATGGTTCTTTCAAAATATGTAGTTATTTGTCTGATCATGGTCAAATTCGGGACATTCTTCTTTTTTTGTTTGTTTTTCTTAATTAGTTTGCCTTGTAGTTCTTCATTTTATCTAAGCATATGTTAAAGCTACTTATCAGTTCCTTTCTCTGAAAATTAATATTTTTGGATTTTTCTGAATTGTTTCAGTGGGTTTTTGTTTCATTTTATTTTTTAAATAATTTTTTCAAGATAAATCTTCAATGATTATAAACCATATGTTTCACAAAGATATCTATTAAGATCAAGTGCCTCTCTCTCTTTCTCCTTTTTAAATATGTATTGAACAACTGCCCATTCTCTCCTCCCCAGCCCTCTAGAAACCATTAAGAAAGTCTCCACCTCCATGAATGTGACATGATAGATAACTCACGTATAGTGGAGTCAAAGTAATTTATTCTGTTATTGGCTTATTTTGTTTTTCCTAATATCTTCCAGGTTCATCCACCATGTCATGAATGGTCAGATAACTTTTCTGTTTAAAAGCTGAATACCATTCTACTGTATACACACCATATGCATTTTTCAAAATTCACTTATTGTCAATGGACATTTGCTTTTTTCCATATCTTGGCTCTCATGAATAATGCTATCAGGAGCAGAGGAGTCCAGATCTCTCTTTGAGATCCTGATTTCAATTCTTTTGGATGTGTGTCCAGTGAAAATATATTTCAACTTTGAATTTTTTTGAGGTATGTTCCATACCTGATGAATCATTTTGCATCTCTTTTAAGATTTACTTTTCTATCTATCTATCTATCTATCTATCATCTATCTATCTATGCATTTATGTATTTAAAAGGCAGAGTTACAGAGAGAAAGGGAGAGACAGAAATTTTCCATCCACTGGTTCTTACCCCAAAGATCAACAATGTCCGCAGCTGGGTTTGGCCAAAGGCAAGACCCAGGGACACCATCCGGACCTTCCCTATCGGTGGACGGGCCTCAAGTACTTTAGTCACAGGTAACTTAGCAGGAAACTGCATTGGAAAGAGAGTAGCCAAGAAATGAATCAGTGCACTGATATGGGATGCCGGCATTGCAAGCTGCAGCTTAATCCACCAAGCCACAAGACTGGCTGCCTCTCCACCCCCCACCCATTGTACATCTGCACCAACAATGTATAATGGTAAGGATTCCAATTTCTCCATCCTTGTTAATACTTACTATTCTTTTTCTTTTATAGTAGCCATAACAGATAGTGAACTATTAATTCATAGATGTTAATAGATGTGAGGTACTATCCCACTTTTTTTTGATTTGGATTTCTCTGCTAATTAATAGTGTTGTGCAATTTTTCATATAACTGTTGGCCATTTATATGTTTTGTTTGGAGAAATGTGTGTTCCAATCTTTCGTCCATTGTTAAAAGGGTGAGTTGTCTGGCTATTGAGTTTTGGGAGAAACTTAATATTTTAGAAATTAACTCTTTATCAGATAAATGATCTGCGAACATTCCAAGTTACCTTTTCATTTTGTTGATTGTTTCGTTTGTTGTACAATTTTGAATATGGGAAAACATAGATAGCCCAGAAATAAGCCTATGCATATACAACCAACTGATCTTTGACAAGAGTTCCAAGAATATGCAACAGAGAAAGGACAGTTTCTTCAATAATGGTTTGGGAAAACTGTTAAACATGCTTTTAAAAAGCAAATTGGGGCCCCAGCATCACACCAGGCACAGAAATCAACTCAAGATGGATCAAGGACTTAACTAAGAATTTAAAAGCCTGAAACTATAAAACTCTTAAAGGAAAACATTGGGGAAAACTTCTTGACATTGGTCTTGGAAATGATTTCTTGGATATGACATTAAAAGCACAGGTGATAAAAGCGAAAATTGACAAGTGGGACTACCTCAAACTAAAAAGCTTTAGCACTATGATAAATCTCTTCCTTTGACATACCTTTTTACTTAGCTCTAAACATTTTGCAGATAGTTTAACAGCTTTGTGGACTTTGTTTGACAATCTAATTTTACTGAGATTCTAGTAATACGGGAACCTCACAGATTTAAAAAGCTGGAAACCTCTAGTCCACAAAATGAAGTAATTACAAACTGCAATGCAGCTTCAGTCTTAGCAAAACTATGAACCATAACTCTATATGTTTATGAACTCTCTGGTAACAGTTCTGTCAATTTTTTTAAAGATTTATTTATTTATATGACAGGTAGAGTTACAGACAGTGAGAGAGAGAGAGACAGAGAGAAAGGTCTTCCTTCCGTTGGTTCACTCCCCAAATAGCTGCTACGGCTGGCACTGAGCCAATCCGAAGCCAGGAGCCAGGAGCTTTTTTCTGGTCTCCCATGTGGGTGCAGGGGCCCAAGGACTTGGGCCATCCTCCACTGCACTCCCGGGCCACAGCAGAGAGCTGGACTGGAAGAGGAGCAACCGGGACTAGAACCCAGCACCCATATGGGATGCCATGCCACAGGCGGAGGATTAACCAAGTGAGCCACGGCGCCGGCCCTCTCTGTCAATTGTAGGATCAAGCTCTTCTTGGAAGCTGTTGTGGCAGATGGTCTCAAGGTGCTAACCAACACTTGAAATAATAGGTAATAGGATGTAAAAAAAAGCAATAAGTAATAAGAATTTTTAGGTTTCAGAGGAGGGGGGTGGACAATAAACTGCTTGGCAGAGGAAAGCAACTTGGAGGATAATAAACAAGCCATTTTCTCCCAGGGAGAAGACAGTACAGTCATCCTGACTAATGCAGTCCTTCAGTCCTCTGGGGAAGAACTGGAGTGCTGGAATTCCTGATGGATGCATGCTGTTAAGCAGTAACCACTGTGTTTCCCTTTTGCAACTGGGAATTTGTATATATTCTGTTCCTCATTCATGACTGTAGACTGGATGTATTGAAGGCGGGCACAACGTTTGTTAATTGATAGGCTATGAGCAACTACAAATAAGCTCGATGGAAATGATAGTGCATCACCCATAAAATGCAACTTAAAGTTGATGAAGCAAAAGGTGGGCTCATTTTTGAAGGGTTGTGTATTTTCTAAGCATGGAGAAACACGCAGCCAAGTGGATACCCAGGGAATAATGGGTCATCAATCATACATACTGGTCAATATCCATTCTCACTATCTTCCTTCATCAAAAATTATTAAGGACGTGGTTAAAATCAAAGGAACACAATCCTGAGTTCTCCATACAGCTGAATGTGAGCACATGTCTAAATGTTGCCCAGTGACAGCTAATGAGAAATTTGAAGTGCAACTCCTAGGAAGGCGGGGTTTTGTGTTTGTTGTTTCAGAGTGAGAGGGAACGCCTGTCTTTGTTCTTCCCTCATTTCTATTGTTTGTCTATGGTGTCTGCAACTCCAACAGTCATCTTAGATATCACAAGAACCACTTCCTTGGAATGACTGAGAGAGCAGACGGAAATTCAAGTTTCTGATTTATAGGGACCTCCTTAGCAGACATGAGTATATCTGGTATCTATTATGTACTATTAAACCAGTTAGAAAAAGATGCTGTTACACTGATGTATATTGATATATGCTAACATTGATGTATGCTTAGTCAATTGTTTTAACTTTTGTTTTTGAACTGTTTCAGATTCTTTATTTGACCTCCTTGATTCACCATCAGCCAAGAAATATGAGCTAATACTTGAATATTATTAAAATAGTACTAATTTCCTATATACCGACTTTACTATTTAGTTTACAAGATATTTCAATATTATATGATTTGATAAGATCTTGCATATATTTATGGAAACAATTTTGATAATATTAAATATTGCCATCATCTTGATATGTGAACATTTTTAGCTTTATGCAAATTTTAAAAGCAAACACCCCATTGAATTTAATCTTATTTGATATTCGTATTTCATGCTTTCTTCTCTTTGGGTTTACCTAGTCTTAGTTCACATTTTAATTTCAACTTTTTTGAATCTCTTTCTTTTTGAAAGAGTTGATAATTTGGTCTAATTTATTGCTCAAATCTGAAGATATGTTCAAAGATGAGTTGATTCAATTTACAAGTATTTTGTATCCAATTTACTTGACATGTTATATAATTTCAGTAATATATTGTTTTATTTTCAAAACTTACTGGATTCTTCATTCCGTTTCTAAGTAATGATATACAGAAAATCCCATTTTGAATTTTGCAGTCAGCAGGTTCAGTTGTCCTCCTACAGTTCAGATGAGACAGTCACAGTCAGGACACGTGTGTCAGGATCCAGACACACCCTGATGCAACTGACGTCACTACTGAGGTAGGAATGAAGGATAGGGGCTTAAAACTGTGCGTGACTCTCTCAGTCTTGATGTTATGCAGGGAATGACTCGGAGTAAGGGAGTAAGGGAAAGGGAGAGAGAGAAAGAGAGAGAGAGGTCTCCCAAATACTGGTTTGCTCCCCTAAATGCCCACAAAAGCCAGAGCTGTGCCAACCCAAATCCGGGAGCCTGGAATTCAATTCAGGTCTTCCACATGGGTGGCAGGGGCCAAGTACTTGAGCATTCACTTGCAGCTTTTGAAAGAAATTAAATAAATAAAATTCTGAAATGTTTACATATGTGATATGTGGGTTCATCTGCCTCTGATCCCACAATTAGGGTCAAGTCTAAATTTTAAAAACCACCACAGAGAAATACAATTATGATAAATATTTGGAGAGATGTTGAATATGTTCCAAAGCTTCCTCCACTCATAAATATTGAGATTATGTCAGCATATTCACTGTAACTGTGATCACTAATAAAATGTCCATGAAAGTCACATGTTCTCTCTGTATCAGAAGCACAAAATCTCAAACTCCTACCATCATAAAGGCCTTCCATCTGAATCTACTAATTGGTTAAGGAATACTCACTTCACCATTTGAATATGTAAAATATTTTACTTTTTCTTCACTTATTATAAATTCTTATGTAACTTGTATGTGTTGTTCTGGCTTTGGAAATATAATTGTGTATATACAGCTGCCAAAGTCATTGCTGATTGTTCTTCTACTCCTTTTATTCCAAGCAACAAATGTAATTTGCCCTCTTCTTCCATGGGTCCAGCATATGCTGATGCAGCCAACTGCACATAAAAAATATTCTTCTCCAAATTACGGAAATTTCTTAAAAGCAGCAATTGAATGTGTCTCCCGCTGAGCAGTACACGGAATCTACATCAATGAAGTGCTGGGTAGGCACACCGGAGTGCAATCGTGCCCCTGTGCAGGCCCTTATTCTGTCTCCAGCACTTGCCACTTCAGCACTGTCTGCTTTGCATCTCATTTGTGTATTCTGGTTATACTGAGGATGGCTTGGTCTGTACTGAGCAGGTACAGAGTTTGTTTGTTTTTTTAGATTTTTTTTTTTATTTTTTTGACAGGCAGAGTGGACAGTGAAAGAGAGAGAGAGAGAGAAAGGTCTTTCTTTGCCGTTGGTCCACCCTCCAATGGCTGCTGCGGCCGGCACACTGCGGCCGGCACACCACGCTGATCCAAAGCCAGGAGCCAGGTGCTTCTCCTGGTCTCCCATGGGGTGCAGGGCACTTGGGCCATCCTCCACTGCACTCCTGGGCCACAGCAGAGAGCTGGCCTGGAAGAGGGGCAACCGGGACAGAATCTGGCGCCCCGACCAGGACTAGAACCTGGTGTGCCGGCTCTGCAAGGTGGAGGATTAGCCTATTGAGCCGCGGCACCGGCCAGAGTTTGGTTTTTTTTCTTCATATCATCCTTGAACAATACCATAGAACTGTTCACATAGAATTCATATTGCATTAGATTTTGTAAGCAATCTGGAGATGAGTCAAAAAATACAGGAGTATATGCATGAGTTATATGAAAATACTATACTCTTTTATGTAAGCAAACTCAGGAATAAGTCTGGTATCCATGGGAGGTCCTAGAACCAACCCCTGTGGATACTGAGACTTTCTTTTGTTTTGTTTTGATGTTTAGGGAAGAGAGACACAGAGTGAGAGAGACAGAGACAGACAAAAATGGATCTTCCATTTTCTGGTTCACTCTTCAAAAGACCATAACATCCAGGGCTGGGCAGGCCAGAAGCCAGAAGCCAAGAAGTCGATTCAGGTCTCCCATGTTGGTGACAGTGATTCAACTAACTGACCCATAAGTTGCTGCCTCCCAGGGTGCTTATTAGCAGGAAGTTGGTGTACCCTGTTTGAGACAGGACCCAAACCCTAGCACTTGGATATGAGATGTGGGCATTCAAGAGGTGTTTTAATCACTGCCCCCAAATGCCCACTCCTTGTTTTAATTTAATGAACTTTTTGTTTTCTTGACCAACATGTGTGAACTCAAAGGACTCCTTGGATTTAATTTCTTTCTAGACCATTGTAGGAAAGAATCACAATGCCACAATGACAAAGAGCAGAAGAGTTATTTGTGAGAATGACAAAAATATTACAGAGCTCACCAGACAGTATCAGTAGGAAACAATATCTGCCCCGAGGTCTCACAAAGGAGAACTTTTCTATTTCCTTACCTTATGGTTATAATGCTATTCAATGTTAATTGATCATTCATCTTTTCAACATGTCATAGTAAGGTATAAGGAGTTGTACAATGAATTTCAAGGGAGATGATTCTCCTTAATAGCAACAGATTTTTCCATTACATGTTTTGGGAAGACTTGTTTTACCACTAAAATAGTAATAAAAAGAGTTTGTTTTGCTCAGTTGGCCCTGATGGGCTATGGTGGTCTTGCCTGCCTCTCACATTGTGGTGGAAGTGCATTGACCCTAATTTTTTTTTTTTTTTTGACAGGCAGAGTGGACAGTGAGAGAGAGAGAGAGACAGGGAGAAAGGTCTTCCTTTACCGTTGGTTCACCCTCCAATGGCCGCTGCGGCTGGTGCACCATGCTGATCCGAAGGCAGGAGTCAGGTGCTTCCTCCTGGTCTCCCATGTGGGTGCAGGGCCCAAGGACCTGGGCCATCCTCCACTGCACTCTTGGGCCACAGCAGAGAGCTGGACTGGAAGAGGAGCAACCGGGACAGAATCCAGCGCCCCAACCGGGACTAGAACCCTGTGTGCCAGCGCCGCAAGGCGGAGGATAGCCTAGTGAGCTGTGGCACAGGCCAGACCCTAATTTTTAAACACAAACTTGAGATTACATTTTCAGTGTTGACAATTTGAAATACCAATCATATGAGAAGTATTTGTAAAGAATTGATACATCTTCTTCTCATAAGCAAATGCATGTTTGGAAACTAACCTAAAAATAGAGATAAGGTCCAAACCCAAAACTCTCCTACTGATTTATCTTATTAGATAAAGAGAAAATTTTATATTAAGAGAAAATTTCAGAAAAGATTATACGTGGGATACACAAAGGAACTTTCACCTTATCTTGAAACCACGATAAAGATAAAGGGATTTTTAATGATACATCAACCGGCACGGGAAGACCAGGATGGATGACCTCAGCTACAAATGCTAATGATGAAAGACTGTTAGGGAAAGGAATATGACTCTCAAGAATATGAAACCAAAGAAGGTAAATAGGAAAGAGAAATTAACCATAATCACATTTTTAAAAGTCCCCAGAAGACTCTAAAATGATTGGTGCCAGTTATGACTTCATGTGTAGGTCAAGAGAAGAAAATTTAAACAGAACTGGCTGAAAATCTACTAAGAATCAGCAAACTGGATACAGTCTTTCCTCTATTACAGTTACTCACCTCTCACTCCTGCAAGAGGCAGTGTTCTGTTTTCTGGAGAGGATAAAACAGGTGCTCTCTGGAGGAGACGTCACCCATCATAGATGAGGACAAGGTTGCCTTGCACATCCACGGTCCCACAGAAATGTGTGCCTACAGAGCTAACACCTTGCCTGCCACCACAGTCCCTCTCCCAGTGCGGCAAATAAGGCTTTCACTTTCCGTGCTTCCTGGGCAAACACCCTCATCAGAGTCTGAGCATTTGCAGGGGAAGTCCCAAAGACGATCACACAGTAAATGTCCAAGTCAAATGCGATCCCTCTGGACAGAGGAGGGGATAGGTAAGCCCAGGATACACACTCAGAATGCTCAGCTAGCATGTGAACAAAAAGTGTCACCTGACACATGGCAAAGCATCCAATGTGAAAGGTCGAGAGTAAGAAAAATAGACAGAAGAAAGTTAACAGGGGCTAACAAAGTCTGTGCAAATACACAAAAAATTCCAAAACTATAATTAGCATCCTTGGATATATAGGGGAAAGTATTGCAAGCATCAGTCCAGAACAGGGTATAATACAGTTTGGGACTGTAAGAAGAAACAGAGAGTTCTTGAAAACTATGTGAGTATAGCCAAAAGGAAAATGTCAACATAATGCTTGAACATCGACTTCTCAGAAAGAAAAGGAATGGCTTCCTCTGGGAATAGCGTAAAGATGCAGAGACCAATACAAACTGTCCAAAGACTTTAAAAAGGCTCAGGATGTTACAGACACAAATGAGCAGTTCTAGAAAGAATGAAGGAAGAGCGAGAAGTCAGCTCAGGAAATACTGAAGATTGTTTACTTCCTTTGCACACTCATCAGGAAAGCTACAGGATGGTGTATTCCACCAAACACGGTAAGAAAAAGGAAGCCATGAGGTTTGCAACTTAAGCTGCATACTTAAGATACTTAAGCTGGCATAATGGGAGTGTGGTAAGAGAAGACAGAGAGTGGAGGCAGGACACACAAAAAAGAGCAGAAAGCAAAGTGAATCTATAAGAAATACCCACTGCTGGGAGATAAAAAGTAGTGACAGACATATAATGTAGAGACATGGAAGTGAGAAGCAAAATTTTAAAAAGGCAGGAAGAGACAAAATGAAAAACAGGTGCATTAGCAGGGAGCTGGATTAGAACTGGAGCAGCCGGGACTTGAACTGGCACCCACATGGGATACTGGCATTGCAGGCGGCAGCTTTACCTGCCGAGCCACAGCACTGGCCCCCTGTGGCATCTTTTGAACAAACTTCTGTTGGAGGGACTTTCTTGGGAGCCCTGTCTATCCAAAACAGAAGCCAGAGGCACACTTGTCTAGCCTCCTTGAACTTGACGTTCCCTGTCAGACAGGTCTACTTCCACAAGGTCACGCACCATGAAAGACTCCAAGTGTGTTTTTCGGATAAGAAAAATAAATGTGACAAGAGTGATCAGACTTCACAGGGGCAGTCCTGGGTGGATCTATGTTTTGGGAAGCTGAGCGTTTAAGGTAGATTTTCTGGCTCTTCTGGATACTTGCTCATTCTCTAAAATGTTTAAATAAAGTTCTGTCCTTTTCAATCTCACTTTTGTCGGAACCTGTTGTTTGCTACTGAGAAAATGGGGGAAAGGTTTTGTTCTCATGTATATTAATACCAGGTAAAGAACTAGGGTAGAGTTTGAAATTCTTACGAAGGAAAAATATATGAGGTGTAAACAATAAAACAAGGTTTTCAAATTGTAATTCTACCTCTTACCTATCTCATCACACACTTTCTTACTCTGTATTTAAGTGATTACTAAGTGTTCAAGGCATACAGACAAGCTCCCCTCACCCTGGGATGTGCAACATAGTGGGAACTCAACAACAACAATAACAACAACAACAAAACGTATCCTTAGGTCACTGCTTAGTAGGTACCAGGAAATAGAGTCACACAGAGAATTACAGAGAGGCCAGAGGGTGTGCAGTCAAGGTCTAGGTGACTCAAGATAGGCTTCCTATAATTAACTCATCTTTTTCTTTCTCTTACGTAAAAATTACCAAATTCTTATCCTAGATTTAGAAAAAAATACACCTTCTTATGCGAAGATGCAGTTCATGGACAAGAACGAAGTAAGAAGTCATGTCTTCAGAAAAGCTAAAAGCTGAAGCTGGTGTGAAGGCACTGCTTATGGTGCTAGCACACTGTGCAGGAGTACTGGTGTGAGTCCCAACTACTTTGCTTCCCACTCACCTTCCTGCTGTGTCCCTGGGAAGGCACAGAAGGCAGCTCAAGTACTGGCACCGCTGCGACCCCTGCCAGAGACCCAGATGGAGTTCCAGGCTTTTGGCTCCAGCAAGGCCCAGCCCTGGCTGTTGTGGACGTTCAGGGAGTGAACCAGTATTTGGAAAATCAATCTCTCTCTCTCCCTCTGCACCCCCTCTACTCTACCCCATTTCTCTTCCTTTCAAATAAATAAGTCTTAAAAAAAAAAAAAAAAAAAAAAAGATGGGCCGGCACCGCGGCTAAATAGGCTAATCCTCTGCCTGCCCCTCTTCCAGGCCAGCTCTCTGCTGTGGCCCGGGAGTGCAGTGGAGGATGGCCCAAGTGCTTGGGCCTTGCACCCCATGGGAGACCAGGAGAAGCACCTGGCTCCTGGCTTCGGATCAGTGCGGTGCACTGGCCGCAGTGGCCATTGGAGGGTGAACCAATGGTAAAGGAAGACCTTTCTCCCTGTCTCTCTCTCTTGCCATCCACTCTGCCTGTCAAAAAAAAAAAAAAAGTACTGGGAAAAGAGCCTCTGTAAAGGATAAAAGCGGGACTGCTGTTCTTTTCTATGTATGTTTCCCAAGTGTTCTTATGACACCATGACAAGCGGTCTGGAGCAAGACACCTGACAAGAAGGAAAGGGAAAGTCGACAGGAGCCAGAGCGCCAGGTGGGAGCATTGCTTTTTATTCTCCAGCCTCGGAAGTCACATAGCTTTATTCCCGCCATATTCTATTTATAAGACATGAGTCACTCAATCCAAAGCATTTGCAGGTATATTTTAAAACCATCCCTCTTATATAAGTTTATTTCTTTCTAAGGGAAACAAGTGTACAATGTCATCAGGGACTCAGGTTGCTGTCTCGCTGTGCAGATCACAGGGGCTGGTGGGGCTCGAGCCATGGAGGCCTTTATCCCAGCAGCAGGGAGGAAGACACTTGGCGGAATTGTATGCCCCTTGGCTTTTAGACAAATTTCAAGGAAGTCTCAGTGAATGCTTCTATTTAAACTTCACTGGTTAGACCCATGTTGTCCTCTTAGCTACACAGGAGGCTGAGAAATAACGTCTTGTATTACTTGTGAAAATATACCAGCTTAAACTTGGTAGTTCTATTTCAGATGGGGATGGCAAAAGAGGATTTTAGGTCAGGCACTCAGCATCCTCTTCCAAGACATAATTAGTTAATTCTTAAAATCAGTCAAGGTTCTTTTGGTTTTGGTAAACTTGGAGTAGGCCCATTCCTTCTTATTTCTCCCTCTTAAGACTGAAAAAACTCTAAATCTAATTTTAAAAATAAGCATATGAAGACTCAGAAACACAGAGAGAAGGAGCTAAACCCTCTTGGACCCTTAACCCTTGAAAATCAACATGAAGGTGAGTTTCCTGGGCTCCCAAGCATTGCTCATATATCTCAGAAAGGTCATTGCAGAAGAAGAGTCCAACCAGCAGTGTTATCAGGAACAGGTAAAAGTCCCTAAACTGCATCTTGTTCTTTCCATCCAGAAGGTCTAGAAAAATGGTCTAGGAAAAAAACAAACAAACAAAAAAACAAACAAACAAACACATGCCTTAACAACGGAACATGTTTTGGCCAAAAACACCATACTCCAGTCCAGCAGTGGATAATGTGCAACCAATTGTCTCTTCCAATGTAAATCTGAGCCTCCGCTCCACCAGACATCAGGAGATTGAACAAGGGGTGTGAGTCTGGATGAATCAGCACTCCAGTTTCTCTCCATCCCTGGTAACAGTGGAGTCCTGTGACCGGGCATTAACAAAGATGACTGGGATACTGCGGGGAGAAGCTAGGTACCACTGCTGTCTCCACCTCCTCCCTTGTTTCAGAGATCTTTAGGGTATCTAAACTTTCTCCATAGGATTCAGCAACAAAGGATTGTAATCAGCCTTCCATTTCTCCCTTCCCCTAGATGCCACAGAAAAGCTTAGCTGCTGTGTTTGCAAGATAGTTGTTAGCAGTAGCTGAACTTAGATCTCTACAGTCTTCATTAAGGTAGTGCATATAATTTTCAAATTATGATGGCTTGATTTACTGTGACAGGTTTAGGATGACATAAAAGTCAGGGGCATTCAGTAAAAGCCATACTTTAAATTTTACTCTTTTCTCAGGCTAGTGATTTGCCATATAATACTCTCCTTTAGTAGTGGGCAGCAGCAATGAACTATGGCTCCAGTCAGCCAGGTAAGCACACAGATAAATAGCTAATAAATGTTTGGTTGGTTAAGTGTATTATTAGGTGAATATTTGAATTACAATATTCTCAGTTTATTATGATATACCTAGAAGTAATACCATCATAAACCAAGGAGCATAAGTATATGCATAAATAAATGCTCCACTTTTGCCAGCAAGGGGTTGGCAATACCAACTTGGGAAGTTGAACTCATACACTTGGCATTATAGATAATTCAATGAGGGGCCTACTTAAGAAAAGAAGAAAAAGAAGACTAAATAGGAACCAGTCAAATACAGAATGAGAAATGCAATCCACATCAATACCAAGATAAAGTGGTTGTTTTAATGAGCTGACAGAAATAATTAAAAGCATTAAAATATTTCAACAAGCAGTTACAAATTCTCTTGAAATAAATGGAAAAATATAACATCTTAGCAGAGAAATAGGGGTTGTCAAAAGAATTAAATGAAAATGTGAATATTATAAATCCAAAAAACATAAGAACTTAAATAATAATTATTTAAAATTCACTGGATGGGTCCAGGAGTAAAATGAAGATGGCAGAGGGTAGGTTCAGTGAAACTAAGAATTACAGAGAGAAGATAAATTGAAGAGTTTATGTTCATATTATTGGAATCAAAAGAAGAACTAAAAAGAACATGCTGACAGCTGAAGAGAATAAGGGATGAAAACTTCCCAAATAAGGTGAAAAGAAAACACTCCCCCAGAAGTCAGAGACTGAACTGACATCAGACAGACTGTATCCAAAGAAATCCACCCTATACACATTCTAAACTTCGGAAAAGTACAAAGAACAACAACAAAAAATCTTCAACTTAACCAGGTAGAAGCCACATCCATGGCAATGGATTTCATATCTGAAGCCATGCAGGACACAAAGAAAGAGTACATCAGTTTTCAGCTACTAAAATGGCTGTCAACAACAAATTATACATCTGCTAAATGGTCCTTTAGAATGAAAAAGAAATAAAGGCATTCTAAGGGAAGCTAAAAAAGCAAAGATCACTGGCCAACTTGCCTTTGAAATCTGACTAAGGGAAGGTTTTCTAAAGATAAAGCAAATGATAGAAAAAGAAATCTTGGAACTTCAGAAATGAAATAAGAACATCAGAATGTGAAAGGAGAAGGATATAAAAAATAAAATATTCTCATGAATTTCTTAAATCACATTCAACAATTGAAACAAAAATTATAACATCATTTAACTTGGTGCCACATTAGACAGAGGAAATATTTAAGACATTATTATTATAATGAACCTAAGTGGAAGTAACATAACCACATGTTGCTCAAAGAGAGAGCTTCAACATTAATAGACTAAGTGTGTTTATTTTGGTATCTAAAGCAACAAAAATAGATCATATCTTTGGTCATAAGGTAAAGCTCAAAAAACTAAAAGGATCTGAAATCATCAAGAGTATATGCCCTGGCCATATGGAATAAGATCAAAATTAGTAACAGAAAAATGTAGGAAAATGTCCAAACATTTGGACTGACAAACATGCAGAGAAGATACAAATCAGCAGCATCAGGAATAAAACAGGAGCTGTTACTGTGGATCCTGCAGCCACTCAGAGGATAATAAGGGAGTATAACAATTAGCTCCACACTCAGGAATAAAAACTTAGAATACATGAATCAATTCCTTGAAAACCACCAACTGCCAATACTCAACCAAGATGAAATATACTTCCTGAGTAGTCCTATATCAAGTAAAGAAATTAAATTTGTTCTTACAAACCTCAACCCTCTCAAAAAAATGTTTAAAAAGAATCTGAATTCAGAGTAGAATCTGAGTTAAATTGAGCTTTCAATGTTGATTGCAACCAGCACTTGATTAGTACAGTAAATCTTTTAAATTACTGTGGCTCATTTAAAAAGAGCAAGAGCAGTCTCTATACCAAAAAAAAAAAAAAAGTTTTCATTATTAATCTGTGTTACCCTTTATGTCTTTATGTTCTAAAAGTTGAGAAAGAGTCTGCTTGATTTACAGGGGAAAGTGAGCCTGGAAAACATTTTACGGAGAAGAGTGAGGCATGTTAGGTTGAACTATGCTAAAAATAGATTTTAAGGGGCCAGTGTTTTGGCATAAGAGGTTAAGCCCGTGCCTATGATGCTGGCAACACATATATGGGTGCCGGTTGGAATCCCAACTGCTCCACTTCCAATCCAGCTCCTTGCTCAAACACCTGGGAAAGCAGTAGAAGTTGGCCTAATGTGGGAGACCCTGAAGAAGCTCCTGGCTCCTCCCTTTGGATGGGCCCAACTCCTGCCATTATGACCATCTGGGGAGTGAACCAGTGGATGGAAGATCTCTCTGTCTCTCTCTCCCCTTTCTCTCTGTAACTCTACCTTTCAAATAATTAAAATAAATCTTTTTTAAAAAGAAGAGTATGTTTTAAGAGAAATATGTCTTATTTTTCCCCCTGATACCATAGTTCACTTTATTTGTGTCTCCATATTGGTGAAGTCTGGATGACAGAAAATAGCTACATTATGTGTAGGAAGGGCAATGTGGTGTAGTGGTGAAAATATCTTTTGGGATCTCTGCATCCCAGATCAGCTCCCAATTCCTGCTGCCTGCTAATGCATACTCTGGGAGACAGCAGGTGATAGCTCAACAACTTGGATCCCTGCCAACCATGTGG